AGGTGCGGGAGGGGGCTCCAGGCTGGGGTAGGGGGTTGGGGTGTGGGAGGGGGTGAGGGCTCTAACTGGGGGTGCAGGCTCTGGGGTGAGGCCAGAAATGAGGGGTTCAGGGTGTGGGAGGGGCTCCGATCTGGGGCAGGGGGTTGGGGTGCGGGAGGGGGAGAGGGCTCTGGCTGGGGGTGCGGGCTCCGGGGTGAGGCCAGAAATGAGGGGTTCAGGTGCAGGAGGGGGCTCCGGGCAGGGCAGGGGGTTGGGGTGCGGGAGGGGATGAGGGCTCTGGCTGGGGGTGCGGGCTCAGAGGTGAGGCCAGAAATGAGGGGTTCAGGGTGTGGGAGGGGGCTCCGGGCTGGGGCAGGGGGTTGGGGTGCGGGAGGGGATGAGGGCTCTGGCTGGGGGTGCGGGCTCCGGGGGTGAGGCCAGAAATGAGGGGTTCAGGTGCAGGAGGGGGCTCCGGGCAGGGCAGGGGGTTGGGGTGCGGGAGGGGATGAGGGCTCTGGCTGGGGGTGCGGGCTCAGAGGTGAGGCCAGAAATGAGGGGTTCAGGGTGTGGGAGGGGGCTCCGGGCTGGGGCAGGGGGTTGGGGTGCGGGAGGGGATGAGGGCTCTGGCTGGGGGTGCGGGCTCCGGGGTGAGGCCAGAAATGAGGGGTTCAGGTGCGGGAGGGGGCTCCGGGCAGGGCAGGGGGTGGGGGTGCGGGAGGGGGTGAGGGCTCTGGCTGGGGGTGCAGGCTCAGGGGTGAGGCCAGAAATGAGGGGTTCAGGGTGTGGGAGGGGGGCTCCGGGCAGGGGGTTGGGGTGCGGGAGGGGGTGAGGGCTCTGGCTGGGGGTGCGGGCTCCGGGGGTGAGGCCAGAAATGAGGGGTTCAGGGTGTGGGAGGGGGTCCGGGCTGGGGCAGGGGGTTGGGGTGCGGGAGGGGGTGAGGGCTCTGGCTGGGGGTGCGGGCTCCGGGGTGAGGCCAGAAATGAGGGGTTCAGGGTGTGGGAGGGGGCACCGGGCAGGGCAGGGGTGCCGGAGGGGGTGAGGGCTCTGGCTGGGAGTGCGGGCTCAGGGGTGAGGACAGAAATGAGGGGTTCAGGGTGTGGGAGGGGGCACCGGGCAGGGCAGGGGGTTGGGGTGCGGGAGGGGGTGAGGGCTCTGGCTGGGGGTGCGGGCTCTGGGGTGACACCAGAAATGAGGGGTTCAGGATGCGGGAGGGGGCACCGGGCTGGGCAGGGGTTGGGGTGCGGGAGGGGGTGAGGGCTCTGGCTGGGGGTGCGGGCTCAGGTGTGAGGACAGAAATGAGGGGTTCAGGGTGTGGGAGGGGGCTCCGGGCTGGGGAAGGGGGTGGGGGTGCGGGAGGGGGTGAAGGCTCTGGCTGGGGTGCGGGCTCAGGTGTGAGGACAGAAATGAGGGTTTTAGGTGCGGGAGGGGGCTCCGGGCTGGGGCAGGGGGTTGGGGTGCGGGAGGGGGTGAGGGCTCTGGCTGGGGGTGCGGGCACCGGGGTGAGGCCAGAAATGAGGGGTTCAGGGTGTGGGAGGGGGCTCCAGGCAGGGCAGGGGGTTGGGGTGCGGGAGGGGGTGAAGGCTCTGGCTGGGGGTGCGGGCTCCGGGGTGAGGCCAGAAATGAGGGGTTCAGGCGCGGGAGGGGGCACCGGGAAGGGGAGGGGGTGGGGGTGCGGGAGGGGGTGAGGGCTCTGGCTGGGGGTGCGGGCTCTGGGGTGAGGCCAGAAATGAGGGGTTCAGGCGTGGGAGGGGGCGCAGGGCAGGGGGTGGGGGTGCGGGAGGGGGTGAGGGCTCTGGCTGGGGGTGCGGGCTCAGGGGTGAGGCCAGAAATGAGGGGTTCAGGGTGTGGGAGGGGGCACCGGGCAGGGCAGGGGGTTGGGGTGCAGGAGGGGGTGAGGGCTCTGGCTGGAGGTGCGGGCTCTGGGGTGAGGCCAGTAATGAGGGGTTCAGGGTGTGGGAGGGGGCACCGGGCAGGGCAGGGGGTTGGGGTGCGGGAGGGGGTGAGGGCTCTGGCTGGGGGTGCGGGCTCCGGGGTGAGGCCAGAAATGAGGGGTTCAGGCGCGGGAGGGGGGTGGGAGGGGGCTCTGGGCTGGGGCAGGGGGTTGGGGTGCGGGAGGGGGTGAGGGCTCTGGCTGGGGGTGCGGGCTCTGGGGTGAGGCCAGAAATGAGGGGTTCAGGGTGTGGGAGGGGGCACCGGGCAGGGCAGGGGGTTGGGGTGCGGGAGGGGGTGAGGGCTCTGGCTGGGGGTGCGGGCTCTGGGGTGAGGCCAGATATGAGGGGTTCAGGGTGCGGGAGGGGGCTCCGGGCTGGGCAGGGGTGGGGTGCGGGAGGGGGTGAGGGCTCTGGCTGGGGGTGCGGGCTCAGGGGTGAGGACAGAAATGAGGGTTTTAGGTGCGGGAGGGGGCTCCGGGCTGGGGCAGGGGGTTGGGGTGCGGGAGGGGGTGAGGGCTCTGGCTGGGGGTGCGGGCTCCGGGGTGAGGCCAGAAATGAGGGGTTCAGGCGCGGGAGGGGGCTCCAGGCAGGGCAGGGGGTGGTGGGGGTGCGGGCTCGGGGGAGGCCAGAAATGAGGGGTTCAGGGTGTGGGAGGGGGCACAGGGCAGGGGGTTGGGGTGCGGGAGGGGGTGAGGGCTCTGGCTGGGGATGCGGGCTCTGAGGTGAGGCCAGAAATGAGGGGTTCAGGGTGTGGGAGGGGGCTCCGGGCTGGGGCAGGGGGTGGGGGTGAGGGAGGGGGTGAGGGCTCTGGCTGGGGGTGCGGGCTCTGGGGTGAGGCCAGAAATGAGGGGTTCAGGGTGTGGGAGGGGGCTCCGGCAGGGCAGGGGGTGGGGGGGTGCGGGAGGGGGGAGGGCTCTGGCTGGGGGTGGGGCAGGGGGTTCAGGGGGGAGGGGTGCGGGGGGGGGGGGGGGGGGGGGGGGTGAGGGCTCTGGCTGGGGGTGCGGGCTCCGGGGTGAGGCCAGAAATGAGGGGTTCAGGGTGTGGGAGGGGGCACCGGGCAGGGCAGGGGGTTGGGGTGCAGGAGGGGGTGAGGGCTCTGGCTGGGGGTGCGGGCTCTGGGGTGAGGCCAGAAATGAGGGGTTCAGGGTGTGGGAGGGGGCACCGGGCAGGGCAGGGGTTGGGGTGCGGGAGGGGGTGAGGGCTCTGGCTGGGGGTGCGGGCTCCGGGGTGAGGCCAGAAATGAGGGGTTCAGGCGCGGGAGGGGTCTCCGGGCTGGGGCAGGGGGTTGGGGTGCGGGAGGGGGTGAGGGCTCTGGCTGGGGGTGCGGGCTCCGGGGTGAGGCCAGTAATGAGGGGTTCAGGGTGTGGGAGGGGGCACCGGGCAGGGCAGGGGGTTGGGGTGCGGGAGGGGGTGAGGGCTCTGGCTGGGGGTGCGGGCTCTGGGGTGAGACCAGAAATGAGGGGTTCAGGGTGTGGGAGGGGGCTCCGGGCAGGGCAGGGGGTGGGGTGCGGGAGGGGGGTGAGGGCTCTGGCTGGGGGTGCGGGCTCCGGGGTGAGGCCAGAAATGAGGGGTTCAGGGTGTGGGAGGGGGCGCAGGGCAGGGGGTTGGGGTGCGGGAGGGGGTGAGGGCTCTGGCTGGGGGTGCGGGCTCCGGGGTGAGGCCAGAAATGAGGGGTTCAGGCTGGGGAGGGGGCAGGGCAGGGGGGGGGTGCAGGAGGGGGTGAGGGCTCTGGCTGGGGTGGCGGTCAGGGGTGAGGCCAGAATGAGGGGTTCAGGGTGAGGGGGTTGGGGGGGGGGGGGGCTCTGGCTGGGGGTGCGGGCTCTGGGGTGAGGCCAGTAATGAGGGGAGGGTGTGGGAGGGGGCTCCGGGCAGGTAAGGGGCTGGGGGTGAGGGAGGGCTCTGGCTGGGGGTGCGGGCTCCGGGGTGAGGCCAGTAATGAGGGGTTCAGGGTGTGGGAGGGGGCACCGGGCAGGGCAGGGAGTTGGGGTGCGGGAGGGGGTGAGGGCTCTGGCTGGGGGTGCGGGCTCTGGGGTGAGGCCAGTAATGAGGGGTTTAGGTGCGGGAGGGGGCACCGGGCAGGGCAGGGGGTGGGGGTGCGGGAGGGGGTGAGGGCTCTGGCTGGGGGTGCGGGCTCCGGGGTGAGGCCAGAAATGAGGGGTTCAGGGTGTGGGAGGGGGCTCCGGGCAGGGCAGGGGGTGGGGGTGCAGGGAGGGGGTGAGGGCTCTGGCTGGGGGTGTGGGCTCCGGGGTGAGGCCAGAAATGAGGGGTTCAGGCGTGGGAGGGGGCGCAGGGCAGGGGGGGGGGGGTGCGGGAGGGGGTGAGGGCTCTGGCTGGGGGTGCGGGCTCCGGGGTGAGGCCAGTAATGAGGGGTTCAGGCGTGGGAGGGGGCGCAGGGCAGGGGGTGGGGGTGCGGGAGGGGGTGAGGGCTCTGGCTGGGGGTGCGGGCTCCGGGGTGAGGCCAGTAATGAGGGGTTCAGGCGCGGGAGGGGGCACCGGGCAGGGGGTGGGGGTGCGGGTGCGGGAGGGGGTGAGGGCTCTGGCTGGGGGTGCGGGCTCCGGGGTGAGGCCAGTCATGAGGGGTTCAGGCGCGGGAGGGGGCACCGGGCAGGGGGTGGGGGTGCGGGAGGGGGTGAGGGCTCTGGCTGGGGGTGCGGGCTCCGGGGTGAGGCTAGAAATGAGGGGTTCAGGTGTGGGAGGGGGCTCTGGGCAGGGCAGGGGGTTGGGGGTGCGGGAGGGGGTGAGGGCTCTGGCTGGGGGTGCGGGCTCCGGGGTGAGGCCAGTAATGAGGGGTTCAGGCGCGGGAGGGGGCACCGGGCAGGGGGTGGGGGTGCGGGTGCGGGAGGGGGTGAGGGCTCTGGCTGGGGGTGCGGGCTCCGGGGTGAGGCCAGTCATGAGGGGTTCAGGCGCGGGAGGGGGCTCCGGAGAAAGGAGGCTCCAGCCGGGGGTCTCAAGCTTCTGCGGCCCTGTCCAGTCCTCGTAGCCCCGCCCCGCCCCCAGGCCCCGCCCCCTCCTCTGGCCCCTCCCATCGTCGAGTCCCGCGAGCCATGACGTCATCGCGCTATGCCGTGCTCAGGCGGTGTGCGTGGCGTGTTTGCGTCACTCTGAGACCCGACGCCGGAAGCGGGAGCGGTTGAGCTTTGGGGCTCCGCGGCTCGCGCTCGGGCAGCATGAGGGGACGGCTGCTGCGGGCTTGGCGGGAGGGAGCCGCCGCCCGCGGGCTGGCCGAGCTCGGGGTCCCCCGGGCAAAGCCACCGTGGCGGGTGCTGTTCTTCGGCACCGACGACTTCGCCGCCGAGTCCCTGAGGGCGCTGGAGGCCGCCAGGTGCCGGGGGGGGACCGAGGAGGGAGGACCATGGGGAGGGGGGTGAGTGGGGACCATGGAAGGGTTGGGGGGAGACCGTGGGGGTGGGAGGAAGGGAGGTGGGGGACCAGGGGAGGGGAGGATGGGGAGAAGGGGGGGTGGATGGGTGGGGGGGCTGGCGAGGGAGGGACCGAGGAGGGAGGATCATGGGGAGGGGGGTGAGTGGGGACCATGGAAGGGTTGGGGGGAGACCGTGGGGGTGGGAGGAAGGGAGGTGGGGGACTAGGGGGAGGGTGAGCAGGGACCGGGGGAGGGGAGGATGGGGAGAAGGGGGTGGATGGGTGGGGGGGCTGGCGAGGGAGGGACCGAGGAGGGAGGATCATGGGGAGGGGGTGAGTGGGGACCTGGAAGGGTTGGGGGAGACCGTGGGGGTGGGAGGAAGGGAGGTGGGGGACTAGGGGGAGGGTGAGCAGGGACCGGGGGAGGGGAGGATGGGGAGAAGGGGGGTGGATGGGTGGGGGGCTGGCATGGGAGGGTGGGAAGGGAGGGACCGAGGAGGGAGGATCATGGGGAGGGTGGTGAGTGGGGACCATGGAAGAGTTGGGCAGTGGGCTGGGGCGGTAACGGGGTTGAGAGGGGAGGTTGTGAAGCGGTGGGAGACTGTGAGGGAGGGAAGTGGAGACAAGCAGGAGGGTGAGACGGGACCAGGGGCGAGGTGGGGTAGGTTGGGGGAGCAGAAAGAAAGGAGCAGCTGTTTCTCTACCTGTTGTTCATAGAGAGGCTTTGCCTTCCCTTCCTAGCTGTGCTGGTCACTCACTGGCATATGCCGCCTTGTCGTTCTGCCACAGGGAGCCCAGGGAGGAGCCGCTCATAGACAGGCTGGAGGTGGTGACTCTGCCATCCCCTTTGCCGAGGGGTCTTCCTGTGAAAAACTGCACCAAACAGTTTCAACTCCCAACCCACGAATGGCCGGATACAGGACCCAATGGCCAGTTTGATGTCGGGGTGGTGGCATCGTTTGGGCGTCTTCTGAGTGAGGACCTCATTCTTCAGTTTCCATAGTAAGTCAGACATGATGGAGCAGCAGCATGTTTTCGGGTATGATATGTTTCTTGTCATCTAGCCTTTGGTTACAGTAGCATGTGAAAAGACCATCTGAGCTTTGGGTCTTTTGCATTCTGAAGAATCCCTTTAAAGGGACAGCATCAACTCAAAAATCAGTCATTTTTCAAAAAAAGTTAAGGAGTACTTGTGGCACCTTAGAGACTAACCAATTTATTTGAGCATGAGCTTTCGTGAGCTACAGCTCACTTCATCAGATGCATACCGTGGAAACTGCAGCAGACTTTATATATACACAGAGAATATGAAACAATACCTGTGTATATATGAAGTCTGCTGCAGTTTCCACGGTACGCATCTGATGAAGTGAGCTGTAGCTCACGAAAGCTCATGCTCAGATAAATTGGTTAGTCTCTAAGGTGCCACAAGTACTCCTTTTCTTTTTGCGAATACAGACTAACACGGCTGTTCCTCTGAAACCTGTCAAAAAAAGTTGAGTCATTGCAATGTTAAGCTTGTTGCTGAGTTCTGCAGCAGATTTTTATGGCTTTGAACATCACAAGCTCTGCAAACTGTGAAAACTAATTATGCAGAAAGGCTATCAAATGTGCAAAGTTAATAAAATGAACAAAATAGCGAAATTTATGTTCTTGAATCTGTTCCAGTTAGCTTGGGTGCTGCTTGTAACAATAGTAGATTCAAAAACAAAAACGTTGACATACGGAAATGACTTAAAAAAAGTTAGAGGTCCTTGTAAATATGTGGTATGTTCCCCTTACTACTTCTGTTCCCATTCCTGTGTTCATTTGTTGCCAGACATTAAAGCTGTATTGTGTAAATATGACTCTAAAATGGCTGCTTTGCTCTTAGGATTGGCATTTTAAATATGACTTCGTGAAACTGATTGAATTTTCAATACATCTGAAGAGCTAAAACCTGTTTTTATAAGAGGGAAGTTCAGTATAATAAATGGTTAATACCCGTTTATGTGTTACAGAATTACTGGTCCTATTCTAATTTTAAAATATTCTGATTCAGTGGCGTCTTGAATGTCCATCCCAGCTATCTCCCAAGGTGGCGTGGCCCTGCACCGATAGTCCACGCAGTGCTTCATGGTGATACAGTAACTGGGGTGACAATTATGCAAATTAAGCCTAAAAGGTACAGCAAACATTTTAAAAATGATTCAATCACTGCAATGTCTGCCTTTAACAAATATTAAGTTAATACTGTGTTGAATATTCATTCTTTTTAAGTTAAATAGTATTGACGTTAATTTCATTTAATTAAAATGCATCTATGCACCCATACAGATGGTTTCATATTAAGTACTTTCAAACAGTTCAGAAGTTTTACCTGAACTGCTGTGACTCGTCATGTATATAGCTTGTGAGTGGACAAATTGATTTATCACAGCTGTCTGTTAAGCACTTTGTGCTGTACAAGTCAAAAATAGCACGAGATCTGCAGGACTACCGATCTCAACTCAACTGTGCAGTGAAACTGGTAAATTACCTCTCTCCTCTGATCTGCTTTTCTAGATGCTATATGGTGTACTCACAGGTTCTACAAACTTGTTCATTTCTGAAACTGAACATAAAATGAAATGGCATAGTGTACCGAGTACATTAAAAGGTTCATGCTATGCCCCTTTACTGTGGACCTGTCTGTTTTTTAGCTATACTAGAGGAATATTCTTCCTGTCCTACTTCTGTTGGATAACATATCTCAACAATGTATGAAATTCACCTTGAATATTTCAGGCCATTTTTCTTTTGAGGTGAAGCACTTGGAATTGTAAGTCCAATATTCAGACCAAAATTGTACACGAGAGCTAGTGTGAATGAAGTGATAGTCCACTAGAGGAAGAAGCTAACGCATATGTTTTTTGTTTTTAGGTTTGATGTAGGTCCAATTATTAAGCAGGAAAAGTTTGCTGTTCCTTCTCAGTGCACAGCAAAAGAACTAGAAGCAATATTATCAAAGTTGGGTGCAAACATGGTAAACCTACGCAAGTAACTGTCCACTTTATTCATTGCATTGTCCTCAGTTTCCATTCTGAGAAGCATTCCTTGTTATGAGCTATTTGTAAATGCATTAGAAAACAAAGGCGTACATTCCCTCAATACACAAACCTAACTGCTTTTAATGCTACCATGATTTAACTGCAAGCTTTGACAGGAAAATAGATATAGGTGGTCTGAAATTTGGCAGTTCTGAGCATCCTGCGTTGCTGAAAAGATGCATTGGCAGTATTGGTGTCCCAGTCTGTTAACTGGTTCCAGTGGACATTAGTTCTGGTTTAACTGTCCAGAACACAGGCACTGTCTTTTATTTTTCGGGATTGGGTGATCCACACCCATTCCACCAAGAGGCCCTGCTCCCACTCCACCCGTCCCCCAAGGCCCCATCCTCACTGTGCCGCCTACCCACTGCTAAACAGCTGTTCAGGGGTGGCTGGTGGGTATTGAGCACCCACTATTTTTTTTCTGTGGGTGCTCCAGCTCTGGAGCACCCATGGAGTCAGTGCCTATGTCCAAAGAACAACTTTTTAAACACACTGTATGAATACTCAGGCTGACACTGCTTCCATTGAAATCAGTGGCAGATTTTTCACTTGATTTTACACCCAGTGACACTAGCAGGCTAGCTGCCAGCATAAGGTTGAGGAATTTTCAATTTTAATTGGAAAAAATTAGTTTATAGCACAGTTAAGTGTGTTCTTAGTTCAGTGAAATGAGTTTCTTTTGAGCTTTTAGAAAGTTGGACTGATCAAAATGTTTGAGGCTTTAAAAGTCTTGGAGGAATGCTACTGGCAGTATATCTAATATAATGCTCATGTGCTATTTAAATTTGTTCTGTACAAAGCCTTTTTTTTGTTTTGCAGCTCATTTCAGTTTTGAAAAACTTACCTGAAAGTTTAAAAAACAAAAGGGAGCAACCAAATGAAGGAGTAACATTTGGTAGGTACTGAGTATTTAATGCAAATTGTATGTTTTTCTTTTTTTTTTTTCAATATTACCTGGGTATAGAATTCAGTTCCTGTGATCCTACATTGTGTTTTTTGGGCACTCTTGTATGTGTTGGTTCTTATTTAGGGCTGTGTCTGTATCTCTTGAAATCAACAGAAAACTTCCAATGACTTCTGTGTTAAAGGATTAACATCATGGGGGAGGCTGGGGGTAGAACACTGCAGAATCTTTCCTTAGATTCCAGGAGTAACAATTTTCTGAAAGCCCCTGCAACCACTAAAGTAAAGACTACATCTCAAGATTCTAATCGGTTTCATGCTGTTCCTGTCTGCGTTACCAGAAAATTAACTCTTCGGCTTGAGCATAGGTGGTGTTAACTTGTGTGATCTTCTAGTGCTGGTGGTGCAACAAGAAGACAGACTTAAATGCTTTTAATGGCTTTACAAATTACACTTATTCAGTTGTAAATAAACACAAAGCAAAAATATAAAGTCTCTTTTTTTTGCTTTGCTTTTTTCTAGCTCCTAAAGTCACTGTTGCTATGAGTTGTATAAAATGGGAAGAACAAACTCCTGAGCAGATATTACGACTACAACGTGCCATAGGAGCTATAGTAAGACAAAACAAATAATTTTTTAGAAGCTTTCCTATAAGATAAATCTTACCCTAATTGGGAGTTGATGCTTTAGCCTTTTAAATGGTGGATTGGCTCTTTTTAGAGAGGCAAAGCAGTCACGTTGCATGAGGATAGGACATGGATCCAAGAACATCTCCTGAGTTCTAATGCTGGCTCTGTTAACTTACTGTGACCTTGCCAAGTTATTTAACTTCTCTGCTTCAATTTCCCTGTCAGTAAAATGGGGATATGTGTGGTACTTCAGAGAGTGCATTCATTCAGAGGAATGATGCTATATTTGTGAAGTACTGAGTAAAGTTATGGTTAACTGTTTTAAAGGATGCAAATGTATCCTTCAGATATTAACTACAAACATACCAGGTTTGTGTACACACATTTCTTGTTTGTGAAGCGTTAAAATTTCACAGGTATAGGAGTTCTTGAGTTCTCCATCCAAGTGTATTTAGGTATTTATCATGCACTGTTAATGCTAGAGTAATTTTTTTTTAATATGTAGCTTAATATGGTTGTAAAGAAGTTTGAGAGGAAGGAATAGGAGAAGAACAAAAAAGATCAGATGCTTATATGCATGATGACCTGTAGACAGTCCACCCAACCAGGAATAGTCCCTAAACCTTTGCCTTAGAGCTGTTTACCACACTTTTCACATGAAAAAACAAAGTAATTGACGGAGACTCTTGTAGAAACGTTCTCAGTTTGTCATATCTCCTTATGTATTTCCAGCTTCCATTGCAGACATTGTGGATGGGAAATACTGTTAAACTTCTGGATTTTGTGGAAGTGCATAACATCCGTAGCTTTGCTGGTATTTATTATAATCTGTTAACATTTTCTGCTACATGATTTTACAGACCCTGAAAGTGATTTAATTTAATTGGAAGTGAACATGAAGCTATGCTAGGCGACAGTTACATGATGCAAGTTTTTAACTAGGAGTCTAGTGGAATTAAACAAGACTAAATATTCTCATCTAAATGCATAGAAACTTATAAATTGCTCTCAATGTATTTTTATTAATGACTTGGATAATGCTGTGAAGAATGTGCTTATAAGATTTGCAGATGACACCGGGGGGGGGGAGAGGGGTTGCAAACACTTCAGGATTAGAATGGAAAATGATCTTGACAAATTGGAGAGTTGGTCTGAAATCAACAAGATGAAATTCAGTAAAGACAAATGCAGTGTACTACCTTTAGGAAGGAGAAGCCAAATGCATAAATCCAAAATGGGGAATAACTGTTAGCAGTACTATTGCCTAGCCAAAGGACTTGGGGGTTATAGTGGATCACAACCTGAATATGAGTCAATATGATGCAGTTACAAAAAAAGGCTATTGTCGTTCTGAGGTGTATTAACAGGACTGTCGTATTTAAGAGACAGGAGTTAATTGTCCCACTCTACTTGGCAATGGTAAGGACTCAGCTGGAGTTCTGTTCCCAATTCTGGGTGCCACACTTTTTAGGAAAGATGTAGATAAATTGGAGAGAGAGTCCAGAGGAGAGCAACAGAAATGATAAAATGTTTAGAAAACCTGACCTATGAGGAAAGTTTAAGTCTGAATATGCTTAGTCTTGTTAAAAAAAAAAAAAAAGCTGAGTGGGGGGACTGGATAACTGTCTCAAATACATTAAGGGCTGTTATAAAGAGGATGATGATCAGTTGTTCATCTCTACTGAAGGTAGGACAGGATGTAATGGGCTTAATCTGCAGGAAGAGAGACTTAGGTTAGGTAGTAGGAAAAACTTTCTAACTATAAGTGTAATTGAGTTCTGGAATAGGGTTCCAAGGGAGGCTTTGGAATCCCCATTGTTGGAGGTCTTTAAAAACAGATTGGACCAACACCTGTCGGTGATGGTCTAGGTTTACCTAGCCCTGCCTCTGCATAGGTGGCTAGACTAGATGACCTCTTGAGGGCCCTTCCAGCCTTCCATTTCTATGATTCTATTATTTTCTGTGTCTGGTAAAATTAATAGTTATAGGCGTAGACCTGTTGAGCCTGGGTCATCCATAGGGAAGGCCAGCCTCTCTTTTGTGTTTCCTGAAATCCTCTCTCAGGGGAGATGGGTAACATCCAGAAGAAGTTAATGGTACCTCTAGTATCTACTCTACTGCAGTGACTGTTTTGTTTGGGGACCTATTAGAAAGCAGTGTACTGCAGAGTGTGGCTTCACTAAGTCCCCTAGAGAGCAAACATGCCGTTATTACTACAAGGGAGCTTATGCATACTTTTGGAAAAGTTGGGGACCATGTTAGATATTTTCTGTTACTTATGGGACACTTTCACCCCTTACTCTGACTTGCTCCTCTCTGCTATATATCATAAAGAACAATGAGGTTTTTTGTGCAAACCGGTAACTGTCATAACTTTTTTACATAACTGTCTAGTTTCAGAGACAGGCATAAAAATAAGTTTCATGTTTTTTACTCTTATTCAGTAGCGTGAAAATGCAAGAAGTTCCTATTTGTTTGCAGATCAACTATTAAATGAGCATGGAATTGTTCCAGGATCAGTATTATACCATAAATCGTCACAGACATTGGTGGTACGTTGCAAGGTATGTTTTCTGCCTTTACTTTCTATTCAGGGTTCTGAAGATGATTTTTAGACTGCTACCTCTGTTTTTAATAATCTGCACCCTAACATAAGAATGATCAGACTTTAACAAACTTAGCTAGTAGATAGAGTCCTTAGTGTGTGCATCTTTTATCTTCCTTTCTAGGAAGGCTGGGTCGGAGTCAAAACTGTCATTTTAAAGAAGAAGCTTACAGCTGCTGACTTCTATAATGGGTACTTACATCCCTGGTTCCAGCAGAATTCAAAAAATCTTTATAGGGACTGCAGATTTCATACTCTCAAACTTACCACAGTGAAGAAGACTGAAAGAAAAGGAAATGGTGGTGCACAATATAAAACAAAGTGCACGAAATTTGTCAAACAGGATGGCTGTAAATGAATAGAAACATTAAGTATTTCATCGTCCATTACAATAAATGAAGCAGGAATTTCTTTAAGGGCGCTTCAACTGCAAAGTGTGTGATATTGGTATCATCAGCCAAGAAGATTTCTTCATTACTCTTTTATGAAGCACTATGTTTTATTCCTTTAAGAGAAGAGCACACGTTAGTGAATGCCTAACTAAGACAATGAATAACCCTGTTTCTGTTGTTAGACAATTTAAATTTTGTGTAAAAAATAATTTAAAAGCTTGATTTTTTTTTCCAACGTGGCTTTGTCAGAGGGTAGATCAATATAGTTCTGTTTAATTATGCTTATCTGACAAACTTAAAGTAGTTTGTCCTTAAATGGCATAGGAAATTAATGAGAAACACTTTTTTACCTGCAAGGTCCTGTTTGTGTGAAACAAAACCTATTTTGGTAAGTAATATCTGCCAAAATCCTACTGGATCCAGATATTTATTTGTACAAAGGCATATGGTAATTGTGTAGTATTTCAGGCTCAGATTTGTAACTTTTAGTTAGTGGAACATTTTCAAGTGAAGTCCACAAGTGGGAATTGTCCAGGAGGATTATATTGGTAATTTTGCATGCTTTTATCTAAAATAAACTAGAGAACACAAAGCAGAAATTTAGCCTCTAAATCAATACCCACTGGAATTAGAATTGTTCTCTTAGAGTACACACCATTTGACTAGTGTTTGGTTGGATGACGGCCATCCAGAGAAGTTGTGTGTCTAATGGAAGAAAAGCTAGTACAATTTTGGCACTGAACACGTACATTGAATTAACTGTTTGTTTATGGTCATTCAAACATTTTGACGTTTGTAGAATACAGGAAACAGTATTTTGTTCTGATAATGTTTTGGGAAAATGTAGAAGGCTTTATTGCTTCATCTGGATGCAGGGATATCTGTTGATTAATGACAGCAGTCTGGAATGCTTTTCTGTCATCCAGGCTTATCACACAGATCTTTCAAAAACCCACTTTAGTGCTTGACATTAGAGGAAACAGCCAGAAGTTTAGTACTTTCTTTTAAAGAAAAACTTTTTTCTACCGATGAGTGTCAATTTTTAAAGAAAAAAGGGTCAAGAAGCCCTGTTTTCCCAAAGAGGAGACAGGACTGGCCAGTATTGGCTACAGAACAGTAACCAGCAAACACCAGCCCTTGCATGCTTTGTGCTTTCGTCTTTCAGAGTTGCACTGTGCTTACATAGTCAAGATTAAAATTGCAAGACTCTTATTAAATTGTGCTTTTAAAGTATCTAAGTAGAAATTTCCCCCCCATAAAATGACTTTATATTTACATTTAAGATTATTTAATAGAACTATGATTTGTATTATGGTAACACTTTTGTTATGCTTGTAAACTAACCTTTGCCACTAGGCTTAAGTTGTCATTTACATAGATTTTGGACAGTTATCTTCAGCGGTTTATAGTCATCCAACTCTGGAAATAACTAAAGTTTAGAAAAACAATGGGACGAACCTCTGGCATTTATAAACAGGACTTGAAAATTGTATCAAACAATTTATTAGAGCCTACCAGTTGGAAGTATAGATGAAAAACAGGAGGTACCAGAGAATTTAACTGGGATTTGATTTAACTGGGAATTGGTCCTGCTTCGAGCAGGGGGTTGGACTAGATGACCTTCTGGGGTCCCTTCCAACCCTTAGATTCTATGATTCTATGAATTCTAGGGGCAACTTCTTAGAAGCCTGCCATCCTCAGTTGTGGGGATTGCCGATAGTGCTGGGTTTTTTAGCAACTTTCTATCCTTGAAGCTGCTTGGGGGTTTCCATGTATTGTAGCAACCTCTGGCTTGTAGGTGTACAACAGAACTTGGAAGTTCCACCACCCTCTAGCTGCTGGAAGGGGGAAGATGCATTCTGTTCCTCCTTTCCCCTTCAGAACCTTCTAGCTGCTATGTATTGCCCTCTTGCAGAACGTATGGGCTGCTGTGAAGGGGGCTGGTCTTTGCTACTCTACCCTTCCCAGTCTCCTGCCTGCTGAGGTAAGATGGAAGAAAAATATTTGGGTTGGTGGGGGGATGATGGAGTGAGGGGGGGAGAGAGAAAGAGCTTCTCTGGGAATAACCCTAGTACTCATGTCTGCTCCTACCTGTAGCTTTCTCAAGCAGTGTGACATTGACTTGATTCTGGATTGCATTACTATTGCCTATGAGGTCCTGAATAGCAGCAGTGAAACTTTGGAGTATTGCTAATTTCGCTTTTTGGCTGCTTGGGAGAAGCTGGAGAATCAATAGAGCTACTGGAGCTGTTTGCAAACTCAGGAAAACACACTGCATCAGTTTCCATTCAGTTCATATTTGCAAAGTTATCAATGAAATCCTAAGGGCTGTATACTTTACAAAAAGTTGTGTAAGTTCTATAGAAGTAAATGGCTCAAGTTCTCACAGTCACTAAGTAACGTTTCTCATGTTGGTGGATATGCTTCAAGTTCTGGATATGCCCAGACTTCCTGCTTTAACCTCTCCCTCCTGGTCTATCTAGGGTTGCCTTGTTGGCCACCTCAATCTTTCAATGGCAGTGTGTGTACATCCTTTCAGATGTAAAGAAGGATGTGACTAAAGCTGGAAGAGAAACACAGACCATAAAGTTATTCTAAATGTGTAGACACCAAGGTGGCAGGCATCCTAGAAATAGCTGAGATGCATTGGGCAAGAGAGGAAAAATCCATTAAAAATGCCTTACATTATATAACATGGAGGAAAACGTTTTAATGGAATACACGTCACAATATTTTTCTTACTGCCCTCAGTCTATCCATGAATCTGTAACAGGTTTCCCAAAACATAGACTCTTCCAAGATGTTTAGGCCTCTGACTCCTAATGTAAACCTGGACGCAGTATCATGGTAAAAGACTGGATCGTGTTGAGAATTTGTCACTTTGAAATAACTGCACATAAATAGGGCTGTAACTTATTACGCTTTTATGAGTTACAAATATTAAACTGAGCCTGTGTTTAGAAACTGAGACAGATGCTCAAACTAATGCCTTCTGCCCGCTTTTCAGCTAGTGGTCCGATATTTGACTCTTCTAATTTTTTCTAGCTCAACTTTTCCACCAAGGACAAGGAGATTAGCTTGTTAATGTCATTTATCTTTCTTGCATCTCTGAAAGCAAGATGGGTCTCAGACTAGGTTTTATGTACAACTTTAATTGTTATTTCAGTTTTTTCCTCCATTGTTTTCCATAAGCCTTCTTCCCAGCGAGAGCCGGTTGGAAATTTTCCATCAATGTTTTTTTCTGTGGGAAATGTGTTTTCCACCAAATGAAAATTTTTTTTCCTGGGAAAACTCCGATTTCTCTATTAGAGAAAATCAGCATACTTTGTCTTGTGTCTCGACCCAAAATGAAACCATTTTGGTTTTTCAAAGGCTCGTTCACCTGCACATCTACCAATGTGATATATGCCATCATGTGCCAGCAATGCCCCCCTGCCATGTACATTGGGCAAACTGGACAGTCTCTACGTAAAAGAATAAATGGACACAAATCAGATGTCAAGAATTATAACATCATAAACCAGTCGGAGAACACTTCAGTCTCTCTGGTTACTCGATTTCTGATCTCAAAGTGAGTATCCTTCAACAAAAAAAACTTTGAAAACAGACTCCAACGAGAGTCTACTAAATTGGAATTAATTTGCAAATTGGATACAATTAACTTAGGCTTGAATAGAGACTGGGAGTGGTTGAGTCATTATACTAAGTGAAACTATTTCCTCTTGTTTATCTCCTCCCTCCCTTCCCTTCCCCTCCCCTCCTGCCCTCCCCCCTTCTTCAGACGTTCTTGTTAACTCCTGGAAATGTGCTGGAAATGGCCCACCTTGAATATCACTTCAAAAGGTTTTCTCTCCCCCCACCCCACTCTCCTGCTGGTAATAGCTCATCTTAAGTGATCACTCTCCTTACAATGTATATTTTTTTCATGGTCTGTGTGTATATATAAAATCTCCTCACTGTACTTTATGCATCCGATGAAGTGAGCTGTAGCTCACGAAAGCTCATGCTCAAATAAATTGGTTAGTCTCTGAGGTGCCACAAGTACTCCTTTTCTTGTTGCGAATACAGACTAACACGGCTGCTACTCTGAAACCTGTCATTTTGGGGTCAGTTTGGCGTTAATGTATGTCCCCTTCAAGTGTGGTGCCTACTGGAAGCCCTATAATCCTATGGGCCAAAGTCCCTGGCCAGACTTTTCTCCCATGATGCATCACAGCCTCCCCTTGGCTGAACTGGCATGGGAGACGTCTGGCTGGGGAGCTGGCCTATTGGGAAGAATGAGGCTGGATATCAGCTGAATGACAACTCCTATAAAATACTGTGGTAGCTCAGGACAATGGAGTTCATTGTCAAACTGAGGCAAAATTATTTGGCTTGACAAAAAAACCCAGCCTTTAACAAACTTAGCTACTAAGTAGAGTCCTATGGGAACAAAATATAAGGGATAAAGGAGGTCAGGAGAGCTGGTCGTTTCTCAATGAGACCATATTAAAGGCGCACTGCAGATACAAAAGAGAGAAAGTAACAGTAAGAAGCCACTATGACTCCCATCAGGAGCTCTTTAATGACCTGAAAATCAAAAAGGAGTCCTACAAAAAGTGGAAACAAGATAGATTGCTAAGGAGGAGTACAAATGAATGGCACAAGCATATAGGGACAAAATGAGTTAGATCTAGCAAGGTACTTTAAAGAATCTCTTATTGTCTTAATACATTCGGACCAAGAGAAAGATGAAAGAAAGTGTATTCCCTCTATGTAGAGGGGAAGGACAGCTAATAATGATATCAAGAAGGCTGAGGTGTTTAACACTTATTTTGCTTCAGTCTTCACTAAAAAGGTTAATGGTGGCCCCTACTCAATGCAATATTAACAAGGGGGTAGGAACACAAGCCACAATAGGGAAAGAACAGGTTAAAGAATATTTAGATAAGTTAGATGTATTCAAGTCAGGAGTGCTTGATGAAATTCATCTAGGGCACTTAAAGAGCTAGCTGAAGGAATCTTAGGACCCTTAGCAATTATGTTCAAGAACTCATGGAGGACAGGTGAGGTCCCAGAGGCCTGGAGAAGGGCAAACATAATATCTATCTTTAAAAATGGAGAATAAAGACGACCTGGGGAATTATAGACCAGCCAGCCTAACTTCAAAACCTGGGTACATACCAGAGCAAATTATTAAACAATCGGTTTGTAGGCACTTGGAGGATAATAGGGTTATAAGGAATAGCCAGCATGGATTTGTCAAGGATGCATCATGCCAACCTAACCTAATTTTCTCCTTTGACAATGTTACTGGCCTAGTGAATAGTGGGGAAGTGATACAGGCGATGTATCTTGTTTTTAGTAAGGCTTTTGACAATACTACATGACATTCTCATGAGCAAACTAGGAAAATGTGGTCTAGATGAAATTCCTATAAAGTGGGTGCACAATTGGTTAAAAAAACATACTTAAAAGAGTAGTTATCAAGAGTTTGCTGTCAAACTGGGGATGGAGGGTGGCAGTCTAGTGGGGCCCTGTAGGGGTCAGTGCTGGGGCTTGTACTTATTCCATATTTTCATTAATGACTAGGAAAATGGAGTGGAGAGTATGCTTATGAGATTTGTAGAGGCCACCAAGCTAGTAGTGGTTGCAAGCACTTTGGAGGACAGGATTAGAATTCAGAACAACCTTGAGAAATTGGAGAATTGTTCTGAAATCAACCAGATGAAATTCCATAATCACAAGTGCAACGTACTACACTTAGGAAGGAAAAAAATAAAATGCACATCTACAAGATGGGGAATAACTGGCTAGCTGAAAAGGACTTGGGGGATCACAAGTTGAATATGCAGTATGTCAACAATATGATGCAGTTACGAGAAAGGCTAATTTAATTCTGGGGTGTGTTAACATGAGTGTTGTATTTAAGACACAAGAGTTAATTGTCCTGCTCTACTTGGCACTGGGGAGGCCTCGTCTGGAGTATTGTCTCCAATTCTGGGTGCCAGACTTTAGGAAAGATGTGGACAAATTGGAGAGAGTCCACTTGTGACATTGATTAGTTGTGATGTCACACAACTGTGGCTTCATAAGTAATCATAGGAATCTCCTTAATATAGAGGAATGGAGGAAATAAATCACTTAACATTTAATACACAGATCATTTCTAGCACACAGTGGAAAGGAATCTAGTGATTATGAAAAGTGCTGCAGTTGAAGAACAGATGGCATGGCACTGCCTAGGCTAGCTTTTTACACGCCTCACCAATGTACTGGGTCCGTGAGAAGGTAGGTCAGTGTGTCTGCCCATTTGGCCCTGATCAAAAGGAATAAGCTGTAATGTCTGTAAATTGAATGAGGTGCTGACTATAGCCATGCTGTTCTTGGGTTAAAGATTTTCTGGTGACCAGCCTATGTAATTCACCTGTCTTGTTCGTGCTAATGCTTTAAAACAATTCCTTGTAATGTCTTTGGTTTTTCTTTAATTTCTCCTTACTTCTGTGCTTTTTGACCTGGCTGGGTCCATAAAGTTGCCTCTGTCTAAACCAAAACGATGAGGCATTTAGCATTGTGTGGGTCAGAAAGAAGATCCTCCTGCAAAACAGCCCTAAGGATTGAGCACAAGTGCTATTCTAATGTTTGCTTGCAAGATGATATTCACAGAGCAGAAATCCCCAGTCACTGTGCAGTGGGTGCCTTATCAGTCTTAAGAGTGCTTTGTGGAGTCCTGTGTAGCAATGCAAGAGTATCACCCCACCAGAGGGCAACAGAGCTGCTTGTTGGAATATCTACTTTATGGTGCTTTGGAAGAGAGAGCAACATTTATACTGCAGTAAATGTTTGAACCAGAGAGAAGCTGCAAAGTAGCTTCTACATTTCTTGCTGTTGTCTTCAGATTGCGCTTTGTGTGAGGTTTATTGCTGTAATTTTAAGCCTAACTACACACTATAGTGCAGATGTTTCCTTTTGTGACTTTCTGGATATACACAGTTACTTACAGTCAAGAGATCAGCAGATGATGCTGTCTGTATCTGATCCTGATCTTTGTGCCATATGCGAGTAGCGTATTGCCCTTGATGTTGATAGAAGTATCTGTTTTAAGTATATGGCTCATTTGTGCCAGAATCACAAAGTAAATATAGGGTTCAGAATACCCATAATTCTTTGTCTCCTGGAAAACCATTTTTAATCCTTGCTATGGCCAGAGCTGCCCAGTTTTGCTCATGATTAAATCCACACAAAGTTCTGTTTGAGGCCACTAAATTATTCTTTTACAAAAGCAACTTTATATGCTCAAATATTAGGAAATTCTCAGTTGTTTAGTAACTCTTTAATGCACAAGCTGAGAAGAGGTCTCTGCTTTCTTGTAGTTATTTTATGGAGGAAAAGATGATTCTTCTATTTCCCAGTTTGGGACCCAGTTGACTCTAATATCTGTTGCACAATGGCTGAGATTATTGGGAATTGGATGTCTGTGTCCCCCAGGCATCTTTGAAAATCTCAGCCAAAGTGTCTGAAAGCATTGTTTCCAGAATCTACATGATATGGGGATTTAACCCAGAAAGCAATGAAGAATGATTATTTTTGCAGAAGGCACATAATAAAAGTGGGGTGTTTGCTGATGAGGTGTGACATAGCATGCCAAGATTTACTAAAATGCGTTAGCCGTTGTGATTCAATTCCCAGCATCGCTATTAAGGTCAAGAACAGCAACCCTAGTATTCAGAAATTGTTGCTAGCTAAGCAGAACAACTCTTGCCTTTTCAGAGGAGAGAGAAAATTGTAGCAACTTTATATTTTTAAGCCTACATCCACTGAGGCTTTAATTTATTAAGAGCTTTATAAGCCAGGTCAATAGGGGACCTAAAAAACTTCTTGAACTCTGGAGAGGCATTGGTGTTGCATAGGGATGCTGTCATTTTGAATTTCAGATAAATACTATGCGGAATAGGAAACCTTGTGGCATATCTCTCGGTATGATTGTAACTGCAGCAATTGGGCTGCTCCTGCTCGAAAGATAAGGATTTTTTTTAAAGCTCTAACTTTCTCCTATTTCTTGCTGAGTATTTTACAGATGACTAAAGGTGAGCCAGTGTAGACCCACACAAAGCCCTGGAGGCTAAGATGCATAAGCCCCAAGAAATTAAAGTTGTGAGTATATAAGAAACCACCTCTTCCTGTGTCTTATCCCAACAGTTGAGACCAACCAATGAGTGCTTGATGGTTCCAAATGGTGGTGTCTTGCTCCAGCTGAAGTCAATGGGATTTTTGTCATTGGCTTCAGCGGGAATAGAATTTGATGGTAGATGTTTATCTGGGGTTGGGAGGAAGTGTGTTCTCGGTGGAACATATTTTCCTGTTAGTCCCTAATTGGTGGATCTTCCGGTGCATCGTGAGGCCCATCTACTTGAATGATGCCTTGGTTGGGGGCCTGAAGCCGTCACAGGGGAGGAGCTGAATTTGAGTTTTCCCATGGGGTTGGTTCTTGAGCTCCCTGTAGTTGACATGATCTACCTGTGTTTTAGTGTGTAATAACTTTGCACATGAAGCTAGAGGTTGCAGCTAATGCATCTCATGCAAGAAATTAACAAACAAACACAAGAGCTAAGTATTATGGAAGTCAAAGGACAGATGCAAACGAAGAACACAGGACTGAAGAATATTATAAAGATTGTGGATCAGAGATGGGGGTTGGCTAAGTTTTGTGTGTCTCTTTAATGAGTTGTCTTAAAATTGTGTTTGGACTAGATGGCTCCTGAGATGGGTAATGGGATATGGAACCCTTCTTGCCTATGTTAGCAGTGAGAGGGTGTTAGCATCTGACTAGTGGCTTTTGAGGCTGCATGGAATGAGTTGATGAACTCCATCTAGTTAACAGCAAATAAGTCTCCACATCAGAAAACCCATGACCACCCTTGGCTCTTGGTGGTAACCTTGTCAGCAGAGAGATCAAGGATTGAATAGGTATGGAGTCCTGAACCGTCTTGTCTTTCTAGGTCAGGCTTATTGGTGGGGCAGCATAGGGAAGCTTGCGTTGCTGCGTCCCA